AGAAAAAAAAATATGACAAAATTAAAAAATGGAAATAAAGTGTTTGTAAATGGGGAGGGGAGGAGGGGGTGAAGGGAGGGCAGGGGACAAGGGGAAAAAAATGAGAACCAAGACCTATCATGGAAAGGCACAAGATCCCAATAATGAATGTAATTGTACTGTATACCTAAAATGTACCAATACACTCAATAAAAGAAAAAAAAATTTCAGTTTTCCCAAATGGAGTCAACCCTACATCCCACCGAAGATGCAGGAATTACCCAGATAGCTGGAAAATAACTATTTTACCCCTTCTAAAAAAATGTGCATTCTCACACAAAGTAATCTCTGTAGGAAACACAGTCTGTCCATTCTGGAACATTTTACCCTGATGCCGTGGACATTCAGAGCTGTAGATCACGGTCAGCTCACCACTGGTCCTGCACAGAAGCCCTGCACGACCTCAAATGAACAAGTGTTAAAGTATTTGGCCAAAACGTGGAAGCGAGCCAGTGAGACTGTGCTTGGGTTACATCACACAATCTCTGCGTAGGGGCCCTAAGAGTGACTTCTTCGAGATACTAGAGACCAGGAAAATCATACTTTTGTGAGCAGCTGTTGTTTTTAATCTCCTGCATCCTGGAGATGACAGAGAATTGCTCTCGTTTCCCATGTGTGCTATTAACCTAAGGGATAAATCCCAAATTAGCTGTAAAAACTGAAGATCTTTCTGATGTTTCAGGGTGCTAGGTTATCTCAGCTGCGCTTTCCTGCTTCATCCTAAATCCATTCTGGTTTGATCCATTTCCCTTTGTGATCCTTATGGATACCACATACGTGTATAAGCTGTTCAGATGTTCTTGGGACAAATGTAAGTTATTACGCACTCAGACAGCACATAAATATATTTGAGATTTCTAAAGAAAAAATTTCAGCTGTGTTTGTACCAGATCCACACATGTGTGTACATATGTACTTTTTTTGAGTGCTTGAGATTGAACACAGGGCTTTGCATGCATGCTAAGCAAGTACTCTTGACACAACTATACTCCCAGCCCTAACTGTACATATATTTTTTTCTTCTGTTGTTTTCTGTGCCTGGATTGCCTTCCTAAAATCAGTCCCCTGGCAGGGGGCTCGGTTCTGTGGTAGAGCACTTCCCTAGCCTGTAAGAGGTCCCAGATTTGATCCCCAGCATTGAAATCAATCACCTGTTTCATCTCTTGGCCATTTGCATTTCTAAAGTGCAGGACTTGATTTTCCATAGACGACACGAAAATGGGCAAGTCCCTCTTCATATCCATACACTTTGTTCACAGTGTCAACAAATTTGGTAATTCAAGTTAATTACCTCTTTTATTTTGTGACAATCAACTGGACAATCTTGTGAAACTTGGAATTTAAGCCTGAAAGAGGTCCAGGAATTCTTTCAGCTCACACCAAAACACTCCCACCAACCTTGTATTCATATATTGAGCAGATATTTTACATAATGAGATCTTTCCAGTGAAAGATCTTCACTCATTCACTCAAATATTTAAGTATGAGCTATGTGCCAAAAGCTCTTTAAACACTGAAAATCTATAGGAAGACAAGTACACATAAACTGATAAATACAATACATAAATAATTCAAATGGTATTGGCATGAATAAAATGTCATGAGACTCCAGAAAAGAAAACTGTAGGTGGGTAGGTGCATGACGCGACAACAGAAAGTGAAGAGAAGGAAAACAAGACAAAAGGAAGGGTTTTCTTCTTATCCATGTTTCCATCACTGACAGCAATGGAGTGAGTTACCACCTAACATCCGTTTCAGGCAGCCTTACGCTTCCAGGAGGTCACCCACACACCCCTCTGGGGGAACAGTGTCTCCTGCACAGAGACATAGGAGGAAATCAAAGGGTTAATGGGAATCAGCACCCCTTCTGGGACTCACTGGCGAGAAAATGGCCTGAGATTTCACCTTGGCCTCAGCACCATATAAAGCAAGCTCCATTCTCTCATCAGCACATAAAAGTGGAGCAAAAAACTCCACTGTAGAAGGGATTATGGAAAAAATAAAGTGAGATACATGAGAAAGGCCAAAGAGGCAAGCACCACGGATCGGAATTTTCTGGACATGTGGATTAGTAACCAATGTTTCGTATGAAGTGAAGGACATAAAATGGGCAAAAATTCTCAGTTTTCAAGATGAACCCAAAAGCATTTCTTCTTCATAAGGAAAGAAAAAAAATCATTGAGCTCTTTTTTAAAACTGTAAGGGGCCATATGTTGCACTTAGCCATTGATCATTCTGTCACTTAATAATGGATAGCCATCAGTTAAGTACACCATTAATAATTACATCATCAAAGTTTCCAACTGATAAAAGACAACATTAGTCTGTCTGCAAGGTTTTCTCTGCAATACTGGCAATCTTCCTCTGGGAACTGACTGACTAGAAGAGAGAATGCTGTGGCTCCTTGGGAACCAGGCTGAGCACAGAAAGGTCCTTCCAAATTCGTGCCATGAGGCCACAGCAGGGGAATTCCAGAAAACACCTTTGATCTCTTTGGACAGAGAATGCGCTCTATGCCGGCTGGGGTGGAGAACAGATCAACTAGAGAAAAACAATGCACTAAAGTGAATTACTTTCGACTTACCTACATCATCCTCTTCAAGAATGCATATTTTAAAAAGAGACAAGTTAGTGTATTAAAAATTACTTGTTCTGGCATTTTTCAAGCTTCATCACATAACAAAGAAAAAGTCTCACGTCCAAAGTTCAGATGATTTTTCAAACAACTCTGAATTAAGTGCTCTTCCAGTATATATGACCAGTAACATAGTATGTTTCGCATCTTTTTTAAAGTGCCCTAAATTTTAGAGTGTGATATATAATATTTCAGTTAGAAAAGTTGAGAAAGACACGTTAGGGAATAAAAATCACCACAATATCATCAAAATGATGCAAAATTGCTCACAGGATATGAACAATTGTTAATAGGGCTCTCAATGAAAGTGGTTAATTCTACTACATCTATGCCTATGAACACCTCAATAAACTTTTAATAAATAATGTGTATATACAGGTCAATACATTTAGTTATACGCATTTTCTTATAAAACTAAAAACACTTTTACTTATTTGCTTTACTTTCAGGTGCTATTCAGTTAGAACCCCCTTATCTCTGAAGATCGAGGAACTATCTTTGGAATCTTGATTAACTGCTCTGTGAGTGTTAAACGGTCCTATGCAGAACAAGGGTTCTATATCCTCTATCTCATTTTCTGTTCACCTCAGGAAGTAGAGCTCACCTAGTAAATGCTAAGCACTGTTTCAAAAGTACTAGACATTGTAAAGGGACACACAGAGCTGAAGTTAGGCTCTCACATCCAGTGCACTGGTGGAGAACATAGGAATAAGTGTATCTCCCTCTCCCCAAGAGACTAGGATGAAAACAGGAAGATGGGCTGGGCCTGGCTAACCTTTACACTATGGGTCACTGCTGATTTTAAAAGAACTTATAAGAAAGATAATAACATAAATACAGTGGAACCTCAAGTTGTGAGTGGCCTGACACACAAACAACTTGAGTTGCCACCAGGATTTTAATTTTAACTTATGAACAAAGTCTTGAGTTATGACCCAAATGTTGGCCACTTGTACTTCCAGATGGTCCTCAGGACAGATTTAACCCTTAAAGAGTTCTGGAAGGAACATTACAGCATCCTTTCCTGCGTGGGGTTCATTGGAAATCTTGGGCAGTGTCTCTCTAAGGACACTGAGATCTGCCTGTGTACACAAAAGAAACTTTGAAGGCTTTGTAGAGGAGCCTGAGCCTTCAGTTGACCAACTTGAGTTACAACTGCTCTCAGCACTGAATTGAGTTCATGAACCAAGAATCCACTGTAATTATAGTAATAACAGCAAACACACTGAGTATGGCACTGCATTCCACATTCAATACCTTTTATGAACCCATAAAACCCTCACAATAGCCCTGTAGTGGTATTCTCATCACTGTTTTATAGGTAACTAAATAGAGTACAGTATTTAGGAAATTTCCTAAAGTCACAAAGTTGGCAAGTGGCAGCGTCCAAGCTCCATGCTACTATGTGATTCTTCTTTACTACAACTCCGAATTAAGTTTCTGTGACTTTCTTTCAATAAGCCAATGAGGGGAGAGCACAGAGTTCAAATCCGTAACTCTATGCCCGTGCTACCACTTACAAAAATCTGCTGTGATGAGATCAGTAAACGACGGTGATGCCCTTCTAGTTACTCTTCACTCATAGATCAGGTGTCAGAGTTCGTCATCAGTCCACCAAGAGAAAATTAGAATTTATGGTGTCAAAATGAAGACAAGCAAGGCATACAGCAACCAAATTCCATGAGGCATTGTTACATTAAATTGAACCTCAATTCTGCATGACAAGATACAATGTTGCCCCAGAACCAGGCTTGGAGATCATCGCTCTACTGAGCTCCTACAAATACAGAGGATGCTAATCACGTGTAATCTTCCCATCCAATAGCACAAAATACTTTAAGACAAGAAAAAGAACCCAGAGAAAAAGACAAAAAGAAAAATTTTAAAGAAAAAAGATTACATCTGAATTTTGTATGTTTTAAAGTTATTTAAACCTGACAGTTAAGAAAAGTTTTATCTGGCTACTTCCAGTTATCTATGATGGTAAGGACCATGATTAAGAAAAGCCAGAGGAAGCAGTAAGTGAGGACATTCAGAGAAAATAGGCCAGGGGCAGAAACGGCTCTTTAGGGCCATCTCAGCTCAAAAAGGAGGTGGAGCTTTAGCTTTCAGTAACGGCTCTAGCTGGATGTGCGAAGGCAGGAACACTCAAACCTCAGTGTACGCAGCAGTTGCCAGAGAAATCCAGGGTCCTGTGCCCACCATTCAAACTCAGCAACCTCAAAAGCGAGGAATAAAAACCTTCAGCTTTGTAAGACTCCCAGTGGGCATCACAGACACAGACCACGCTGCACGCTCTCAGAGCTCTGGCTGTCCAGACTCCTACCTGTCTCGGCGTCCTTAGGCTCACGCTCTTCCTCTGGAGATCTTGATGCCGGCCACACTGAGGGGACCCGCCGGGGAAACTGCCCTTCTGTGTAATCCAGGGCGTGTGTGGGTTGGCTGACTGCAGCCCAGGTGTAAAGCTGATCTTGCTAAATGTGAAAATTAAAAATTAATTCAGTTGTAAGAAAAAAAAGACTGATAAATTACAAAATCATTTCTATGTAAATTGCATATATATGCATAAAACACAAACATTAAAACAGTATCTTATACCATTCGGTGTAGATTCATAAGACACCCATTCTTTCACACAGTCGTTTCATTCTGAAATAACCACACTTGTGTCAACTTCTTTTTAACAGTAAAGTCGAAGTCTCTTTCTTTGGATGGAGAGGCTACACAGGCCTGCAAAGAATTAAAAGACAAAACACTCCAGCCACCTGGAGGATTCCTTGACCTGGAATCTCGCATTCATTTGAATGAGACAGACCACTGCTTTATACTAAGGGGAAAAACAGAGCACAAGCCGTGGGGACAGTGGCCGCTTCTTCCTTCAACAGCAAATGGCCCCACTTAACACGGGCTGGGTTGGAAACTGTTTGGGAGAGAAGCTGCAAGAATAAAGACATTAGACCTTCTGGCAAAGACAGGCCTTGCTGGCTGGAGGTTGACAGAACTTGGACGGGATGAGGAGACTGCGTCATACCTAGTGTCAGGAGATAAACGAAATCTCACCAAGGAGGCCACTTTGATGCCTGAAAATACCATGAGAACTGTTCACTAGGACTTCAGAATAATGACACGTTGAGCCATTTTGGGGTGCACATGCAAGTCCTATATTCTCTTATTGACATTTTCATCACTCACGAATATTTCCCTAATACTTTTTGATCAGCATCAAGAAAGCAAAGAGAATACCAGTATATCAGAAATGAAAAAACTGAAAACAAAAACATATAATTATCGCCAGGTTAAGACTATAAAGTAAATGAGTTAACTAATGGAAAGATACTAGATTTCTGTAATTTGTTCAATAACTTAATAAATTGATAACACAGTCTTTCTTGTCAAAAGTAAAACATAATGTATAGACCAGTTAGCTTAAACTTTATGTTGATGGACAATCACTGGCCCTCCCCGTGAACTCAGGCTGCTGGTCAGGACCGAATCAGAAAGGCCCACATTTCAGATCTGGCTAAGCATTTTCAGCTGTTCATACCACGTTCAGTTATGCATAACTTGGCCAACACCAGAAGCTTAATTGTTCCCCAACTGAGATCAGAAGGTTTTTCATTGTTGAAATCGGTGCTTTGTTGAATAGGATAAAGGTTAAACATGAGCTCTTATTGGCGAAACTGGCCTGGCTGATACATCAGCAAATATCCCCACAACTCAAAACAGTTAAGACTTCAGCAAGAACTTGTCCCAAAGGCAGGCTCCCTGGCGGTGCTACACCCAGCTCCAAGTTTAGGAAGGCAGCTCCTTGCTGAGTGCCAGCAATGAGGCACAGAACGCTGCCTGCTCCATGTCTGTATCACATGAATTTTTATGGAAGGCGTGGTCAATCACCTACCCAGGTAGCAAGCTTGATACATGCTCAACTCTCCGGAGGCCTTGTGTAGACTCTAGTGTGCATTCTAGTGCCTGCTTAATAAAGGTCTCTGGCAAAATTTTAAGATTTGCTTTCATTAAAATACAGTAAATTCTTAGACGAAAATTACTTCCAAGTGAGTCACAAGATCTAAAATCTAAAACTATAAAGCTCTTAGAAGAAGAGAACAAGAGGAAAGCTTCATGACAGGGAATTTAGCCATATCTTAAACATAACAGCAGCACAGGCAACAAACGTAAAAACTAAATAAATAAACCAGACTACACCAAAATCTATATGTCACAATCTGAGTGGCATAAAGATTCCCTGGGCTCACTATATGTAAAAAACAAGTTACTTAAAACAGCTTTTTCCTCATCTTTTTCCAAGTTTATAAATAATAATTCCCAAAAAAGATATATAAATCACATATAGCTTATTTAATTATACATTTATTGTTGTATAGAATGAACCGATACTCAAAGTTAGGCATTCTAAGAATGCCTCACTGAAATTTTTATAGCTAAGGTGAGGATTTGGCTACCACCTTAACATATTTCAGATCAGGGCCGGGGATTTAGCTCAGTGGTGCCGCTGCCTGCCTCACAAGTGCAAGGTCCTCAGTTCGATCCCCAGTACCCCCAAAAAATACACTAGGATCAACAACTTCCTGGTACTACCACGGAGAGAATCTTTTGTAGTTCACTAATGTGTATATTAATGTAGAGTCTAAATTACTGTCTGACAGGAGTTGTGGCCACTCCCATCTATGATGACCCATAAGTGAATGGAGGTACCATGTCCATCTGCACGGGAATAGCTCTTAGTTGGGTAACTTGTTTTTTATAAGATTCTATCTCACCACTTTTCTTGCATTGTCCACGAGCCCACTAGACCCACGTCTAAGTGGCAAAAGATGGCAGCCATATCTCAGAAATTCCAGGAAGCACAATCCCCTAGTAGATAACAAAAGCCTGCATGAGAAAAAAGAGTACAAAAAATAATTGCCTCCAAGTACTCAATTCTTTGATTTCTTCACAGGTACTTCTAAATTGACCTTTGGATTGCATTATGTGAAGCCCCTCTCAGGCCAGCACAGGGCACTACCTCTTGTCATACTGATTCATACCAATCGGCTTCAGCCAAACTGTGCTTGGCTGTGGCCTCTGAGCCTGCCCAGTCCATGGAAGAAGACCACCAAAAACACCCACCTTCTTACAGAATGTTTTCCATAGGAGGGCTATAAAGATACATTCATTTCCGATGTTAGAATTTCACACCTCTGCCTGAAGAATTCAAACAGATGGTTGGCATTTTAGTGTGTGTGTGTGTGTGCACATGCACACGCATGTGTATTTTCATCTTAAGACAACATGAATTGTGTTGATCAGAGTCGCTTTTCATACGGCTATCGGAAAACTTGAAATAAGTATGTGGCCTACATGTCACATATGTTGGGGTTCCCAAATATATGTTTTTCCTCTTTTTTTTCTTTAACGTTTTCTCTGACAGCATATTTTTATTGCTTTTATTGTATCTTCTTACTAATCTTTGGAATATGTGTGAATAACGACTATCACTATTAGGAAAAGTATATGAAGTCCATTTGGTTTATTGATTTTAACTTATTGAATCATTTAAAAGATGAAAGACAATAAAATAACTTTACTGACAGTAGACTGAGTTGAACTCATAATACTTTGGTTTATGTTTATCATTTAATTAAAGAATTATGACAACTCCACGGAACTAGTTTGAGGTGGGGAAAATAAAAACAGCAATAACTAATCAGAACTTTAGCAACAGCCCCTGCAGTGTCCGTTATTCCCTACTCTTCGAATGTTTTATGTAACTGTAACCACGGTTCACATGCTTTTGATAACAACATATAGATTTCTAAATAACTGCATCATCCTCACACCTTTAATTTATATTTCTGCTACAATCTTCACACACTCAACAGTGTGTAAAATATCACCAGTTAAGCAGTGCTGATTAGAATACATGAACGCAATCACCCAAAGCATCTCTAGCTCACTTTAAAAGAATTCTAAAACTAGAAGAGTATTATTTAAATGATAAGCACAAGAGAAAAATAAAATAACTTCAAAAAGACCAAATTCCAGGAGGAGCTGGGGTCTCTGGAATGTTTTAGGTTAACAAAAAGGTGTTTTCTTGGTTGTGTTCAAAAGAAGCACTAATATCGCTACCAGTGAGACTGTAAATTTTCTTGAGAGAAATATTTAGCATCAAAAGAAATTGAAAACTTATCTTTTTTGAAACAATTCTTACAGAAGTTTTCCCTAAAGGAAAAGTAAAAACAAAACAGTGAATGAAATAAAAATAAAACAGCAAGAATAGTCATGTATTAGAATATATTTATTCCAGTGTTACATTCAAAAAATTTTTTGAAAAATATAAATATGAATAAAAATAATACTATGTACATATGGTGGGGTAATCAAAAGCCTTTAAAATTACATCTCTTTGGCAGAGCAAAATGGCAGCTGGGTAACCCAGTGCTTATCTTCCCCAGACACATCAATCTGAAGAGGTGACCACGTACCAAACCACCACCATCCCAGGAGCAAAGAAAGCCCGGTTAGAGACCGCACTGCCTGAGTTTAGTGTTGGGTTGGGAAGGGGGCGTCTTCATGAGGAGGAAAGAAAGAATTAAGAAACTAAAGAACGAGTTACACATATAATTATTAAGAATTCAAATGTGGCATTAAATAGCTCAGTTTTTAAGAGGTGCTGCATGGAATGGAAGTACTTAGATTAGCAATATTCAGCCTGTCATTCTATCACTCAGCCACTGCAAGAACATGGATTTGTATAAGAGATGTAGGAGAGACCAGGGGAAAGTTAATTGTGAATCAATCAGGCACAAAATATGGGATTGTTATACTGGGTCAGTGATGCCCTCCTCACAAGAGGGTCTGAGAAGTACCCTGGGAGAACCTTTTAGCAGGTAAGATTAAATTTGGAGACAGGGGATGAGGAGTTATGTGATTTTTTTTTTAAGAAAAGAAACTTGACCTATATTTAGAAGTTCATTTCCATTCAAGAGACATATGAATTGTTGTTTGACCTTGATGAAAAAAGAACAAAAATCCCACTCAAGTCTAAATGTCTCTTTCATAATTAGACATTAATGAGAAAACATATCTAAGCAACCTTGTGCTATTAATAAATTTTATAACATCAGTAATGTGTTGAGCATTCCCCCAGGGAAGGTATCTGATTTACCCAAGGTCATATAAATCCTGCAAAACAAAGCATCGTTTTCCTATAACTGATTAAGCATACAGGCTTTCCTGCATTAGAAGGTTGGCTTTATACTCTGGAGTCTTGAAAAATCATGTTTTTTTTAAAAAAATTCAAACTGAATTTAACTTGGCATCCTGACTGAATTAAATATTGAAAGTATCTTTTAGAATTATCTGCTGAAAGAAAAAAATCAAACGAGAAAGGCAAGATCATATGGCAGTTAAAGAATACTGGTGTTAAAGAAAATTAACTTTAAACCCCAGATCCTACTCTTAATCTTAAACAAGT